CACTCCTGCGCAAAATTCATTTAAAGAAACATTGATCTTATTATTCAAGAATTTCCAAAAATGTTTTATTGCATTTGTGATTAAGGTTTCACTAGTATTAGTGAATAAACTAACTACATCTAGACTAATAAGAGTGTAACCAGGTGGAATGATAACTTCTTTTAATTTATTTTTTAATTCATAGCTATTTTTTATGTGTGATTTTGCCAGCGGAATATTCTTAATCAAAAAATCAGAAAGAAATTTAGAAAAACTATATGTGGGTGAATTCAATGTCGAGACAATGATACGGATAGGAAAGTTTTTTTTGTGTATTTTTGTTAGTCCATAGCATTTAGATAAGTCTTTTTTATGAATATCTTTATCAAAATTACATAATTAATCAAATTCATCAAAAACACCGTATTTATCCCACTTGCTTACGAAATTCTTAGAATCTTTAATTAATTGGTATAAAGGATTTTTTTCTAGTTCTTAATAATATTAATCATCACTTAACAATTCTTCTACTTTATTAATGTAAGTTTCTTTTTCAATGACAACAGTGTCATTACCTTTGTCTGCTTTAGTAATTAAAATGTGTTCATTATTTTTAAGAAAGGCTTGTGTTTGCTTTTAATTGTCTTGGAGAACTTCATCATTTAAAAAAAAAAGAGTAGATACATTATGTTTATTGTTATTGATAATGTGAAGAAGTTCCTTTCTAACAGTCTCAAATTTTCCAGAATGTTGAACATTCACTTAAATATTCTGGAGTTTTATTAAAACATAAACTGTTTATGTGCGTCTCAAGGAACTGCTTGCGATTCTTATTCGATTGTATTACGTGCGTGTACTATGTCATTTGTGTATGTGCAGGGTATAAAAGCCACTTAGCTTGAAACTTTGACTACATTACGATNAATCTTTTGAAATTTGCAAGTTTTTTATCTCGCTAATGTTAGTACTATATCTTTAGGAGGCAGACTATTATAGTTTAATTGGGTACCAATTATTTGTTGCTATAGTTACCAAAAGTAATACTTTTGTTTGATCATATCTGAAGTTAATCTAGAGAGTTAAAATCATATTATAATAGCGATCTGAGTTAAAAAATGTGATAATTTTTATTTATAAGATCATTAAATACACAATTTATAAAAATGTTTATTCTGTTTGATAATCATACTTCTTTGTAATATTCAGATTTGTCGTTAAACTTATAATAAGCTGAACTTCTTTAACAATAATAGAATCAGTAATTTATATTCACACATGTATATTGTGTATGTGTGTGTTATTGTAAAATGAGTACAAGTTAGTATAGCAAGATTTTCTAATAAAGTGTGAGATAACTAGCTTAAAAAAATGTTGCATGGTCTGTAGTAGCGTAATTATTATTACTTTTCACAAAACGCAGATTATCAGTAGGATATTTGATGTATATGTATAACTAATTAATAAACAATTGATTTTTGTAAATTGTAAATCACAGTATACTGCACAATTATACTTTAGCTAGTAGTAAATACTTTTTCTACGTGTTATTGTATTCAGTATCAAATATAAATAAGTCAATACAAATGATTTTATATTGTGTTTCTTAACTAATTTTTTCAAAAACCTCATGGTGCACTTTTATAAACATAAATTAATCTGAAAATACGTACAATATGACTGTTTATGGCCAAGTATACATTAAAATAGTGTTTATCAGTCGTAATTATATTTTTTTCTCAAACTTACTGTGATACAAGTATATGCAAACTATTATTGCTATCTTCATTGATTCATTTATCAACATCTGCTTTGCACTATATTATAATAAACTGAAAACATACATTAATAGGTACTCAAAATTATCAATATCTAAGGAAACTCTTTTACTTATAAAAGTATTACGGTATTGTAGATTGCCAAAAGTCAATGGACTTACTCACACTGCGCAGAATCACACATTTTTGAGAAAGTTTAGTTCAAGTGTTTAAAGAAAAATTGAAACTTATTCAAAAAGTTTAAAACTACATGTTTGCATTTAATCGTAACTCATCTTTCCTTAAAAAACTTGAAATTAATTAATAACTGTGAATATAATAAATTATTTAAAAAATTTTTGAGTGAATTAAAAAGTGTATTATTATCTTTGTGTTTATAAATAATTTCACCGAGAACATGCAATCTATTTTGACAAAATGTTTAAATCAAAACAGCAATGTTATTACAATCGATAGAATTAAAAATTTACCATTGTCCATGATTTTTGGACACCCTTATTTTGGTAGTAACCATACGAATGAACTACAACCATATGAATTAACTACTTACTTTAGATAGGTGCAAAGATAAATGTATTAATAAATAACCTGATCTTACTACCTATATTAATTTTACTCGGCGACCACTAACAAAACTGTAAATATGGAGTGTTTCATGCCCTTTCCATTCATAAATGTAACTTTTTTTTTATTTATGAGTAGTGGGTGGGATTAAGTATAATAATTAAATAAAAATACATAAATTTTCTGGCACTGTAAACAGGTTTAACAAAACCAGTCGTAAAAAAAAAGATTGACAAAGCCATGAAAAATAAGAATACACATAGTGTCTGTCATTCTGATTAGCTTGGGACAGCAGAGAATGCGTAACAGAAAATTTAATTACAACGGAAAATAATTGTCAAAGAAGATGTATATAATACCCTATATTGTCTAAAAAAGTATATTTTTTATCCTTCAGAAATATTGCAACCTATTGGTCAAGTCCCGTTAAGTTTAGTCTTGTTTGTTTTACTTTGTTTTCGTTATCTTAGATGTGTTGACTCGTGTAAAAGGCGTTATAACATTTTGTAGTAATTTCTTGTAACAAGGGAACCGCCTTCATTGATGTACAAGAAAAACCAATAAAATGATATTTCATCACATAAAAACTTCTATTTCACTCAATTTTATAAAAAATGCCAGAAATAATTTTTATCATCACTGATCAGGCTTTGGAAAAAATAAATTTCTGGAGAAAAACAATTTCAAATATATATTAGTTCTCATAAGGTAAACTAAATTTTTAAAAACAATAACACATTTTTAAAAGGTAAACTGAATTCTTAAAAATGATAATTATGTATTCACTTAATAATTTACTGAATCATTACAAGAAGTAGTAAATTATTTCCAAATCACTTATTACTTATTTTATGTGTAAAGAAGATTTAGAATCTTCAGTCTCTATAATTCAGCAAAAAAAACTATGTAAGGAAGACTTTTTATAAGAAACAGATTTATAACATGTTCATATGTTTTCTTACATGATTGAATGACGAACATAATCAGTAAAAAGAAAAAAATTGTATTGCTCTATGCGTAATGAGGTACTCAGGTACTTAGGTTAAACAATACTATCCTTTGTAAAGAATTAACAAATATACTATCAATAGAGCTCTTCACTTGAAGATTGTTAAAGATTTCTAATCAATGCGTTATAAGTAAATTATTTTTCACTCATTATTACAACTTTCTTAAGTTTCACAGTTACTTTATTAATAAAACAAGCTTTCATTAATATTAAAGTAACATTTGAGCTGCAGAATGATTGGTAACATAAATATTGAGCAGTATCATCAAAAAGATATAACCAAAAGTTTTTTAAATAATTTACTAATTAACTGTAAAATAATTTTCAGGAAGGTAATTATGAAGTTTGTTATTAATCTGAGAAATTTTTCACAACGAGCAAGCCAAAAATTATGCCATCATAGCTTTTATCAAGAAATACAGGGTGTGGATTTATAACCTCGTCTGTTTGAATCACTAATTGAAAAATCTTTGTATAATTGAGAACTTTTTATCTTCAAAGTCTTGTATGGAATTTTACTAAGTAATAACTTTGTCGTCAAGGAAAACACCATCATAATAGCTTAAAGAGAAGACAGAACGTATGTCAAGGATGTTAAGAAGTTGATAAAAGAAGTCTTTATGTGAAATTTGAGTGAGAATGTTGAGCTCAGAGCTACGAAAAAAATTCGATACAGATTAATACTTAACTAAAAACGATTAAATACTTAGATGTAAAAAGCAAAAGAAATAGAAAACTCGTTTAACTACTCGATAAATCTCTTGTTGTAAAAATAATGTGATATGAATATGATTCTTTATTATAAGGAGATATATTTTTGTTAAGAAAGAAAAAGTTTCTTGTTGAAAAGTTTATAGGTTTCTTACTACTAGGTCGGATTGAAGTTTAAAAAACTTCTAGAAGATGTGCTTTTACATTTTTTATTTAAATGTTAGTAGAAATACCCAAAACTTTCTTCGTTTCAGGCAAAAAATCTCTTGAAACAAAATATAAAGCCTAGTGTCTATTATTTCTACAATTGCCATTCCAAACAGTTGAATAAGTTGTAGTCGTCAATTAAGGTACTGTTCTAATGTACAGCACAACACGAAATTGCATAAAAAAAAGGTAGCATAACTATTCACTATTATAAAGAGCTGATTAAGATAACTGTTAAAATTTTTGAAGCTTAAGTAAATTGTAGGATTACTGTAACAGCGAAAACAGCTGTTATCTCTTGACAAAAACAAGTAATAAAGTCCTTTCTTGGATAAAGTTAGTATCGAATGAATTATAGAAAAGAAGAAACGTAAAATTAAGTTGGGTGTTATTCTATTACAGCAAACCAATAACATTACCTTGTTTAAATCAGCTTTAGTATATCAATTAACATATATAACAAAATTTATTGATAAAGGCAGACAATAGATACTTTGTTTACCAATCATTTAACAAATATATTGATATCAAATTACTTTTTACTCTCAGAGAGCGGTGTGTACAGAACGTAGCAAATTTTTGATTGTATGAAAAAACTTGTAGTAACAGTAGCTGCTTTGAATATCTTGACAACACAAATCATGTAACTGACTAAATTAGAAAAAAAGCAATCACTTTTCTACTAAATTTCACAACGTTTCAATAACCCATACTTACATGTACCTTTAGTAGAATACTGATTGTATTTTTTTTTTTTTTTCAGTGTAAATATCAAACATATCAATGGCAGATGTGCAGCGTTATCTTAGTTACAAGTGGTAAAGACGTCACAAATAAAAAAAAATTAAATATAAGTAGTAAATAGAATAACAACTGGTAGAGTTATTTTATAAGCACAGAATATGTTAAAGGTTAATCAAGGAGCAAAAATAATAACTCCAAAAAGATTAATGCTATGTTAAACAATATATTGTTGGTCTTAAAATAATAGTTTATGCAATAGTGAAACTTGTTAAAAGCAACGTATTTACTGATAACTTCGAAAAAAAAACATAAATTCCTACAAAAAAATAGCAGCCTACTTATAAGAGTATATAAAATTGAATAACTTAGAATGAAAGTACTCAGCTGTATAGTTATTGAATAGTCTGGATTGAAAAATCAAAATTTCAGTAAAACGCTAACAATTGAGTACGCACGCATGGAATATATATGTATATAAACGTAACAAAGAAGAAATTGTTCGTAAGCTAAATTAAGTTACTAAAAAGGACATAAAAAATGTTGACTCTAACACCATTATTAATATAGACAATAAAAGTCTGGGTGGAGAATAATCAAGTTTGACAAGAAAAAGTACTTTAACCTCCAAAATCATCAAATAGTTTTGAATCTTCAGCTGCTTCTAACGCTGTAGTGGCTGCAGTCAGATTACTTTAAAATACATATTTTTTAATGAAGGTTCTTAGATTAAACCACACAAATCTGTAAGTGTGGCCTGGTCACCTACAACTTAGTAGCCCAACTTTCCTATTTTTCCGGCTGCAGGAACAGCTGCTCAGTATTTTTATAGCTTCCCAACCTACTATGTCAATATTGCCTTCGTTGTAATAATAAGTATGAGTGCAAGTATTAGTTGTGTTTGTCTGTGGCTAGATTACTACTTAGCAAGCCCCACTGATGAGTTCCAGCTGGCAATCGAGGTTCAAACGATTTCCCTTCTTTTTCCTGCTATCTGTGTTTTTATTTTTTTTTTTTTTGTGTACACTTTGTGCTGTATAATAAAGTCACCAAATGTGAATTTTAACAGAAGAATAAACTTGCTTGGCATAGAGAAATTGCATATGCACATATAGGTGCATTACAATTTGCCTACTCACACACGCAAGCAAAAAAAATTCTGCTCATGCTGTCAAGTTTTGTACTTCGATTGATGTTAATTCTATGAATAGATGAGCAAGTCATTTAGTTTCAAATGTACATCAGCTCAGAAAGTGTAGAATATAACATGAAATCAACAATGTACGTTACTTAGTAATTTTTTAAAATAAATTTATAACTCACAGAATAGCACCTTATATTAACAGTGCAACACTTTCTTGTTTCTATATTTTCATAGTAATGTTTCATTTGGCCTCTTTATACACTTCATTAACATCACGTCTATATAACAATTTTTCATCATTATTTAAAAGTAGGTTAACAGAAAGCCAGTATAGTTGCATCCTAATGTTACGACACAGTTAACTACACAGAACAAGATCAAACTTCAATTGTTAAGGAGTAAGATTAAAGATTCGTAACCATACTCAAAATAAGATTCCAGAACCATTCAAGGAACGCACAGCCCATTTCCCGGAATCCTTATGATTCTAATCTAATTCTGAGCGATGCAAATAATAATAAAATTCCGATGTGCAGTTAAATTTCTCTCACTGCTCTATTTTTTAATTTTATAATGCTTATTTTCTATCAAAAATCTTATCATTAAAAGGTGATATGGTTTAAAAATGGGCTTAAATAATTCAGTAAAACTTAAATGTGCCTTGGTGTCAAAGTTTTGAATACTAGTTTTAATGGCCCAGCAATGTGTACTCTCTGTT